CACTAACAATAGAAGACACTTTGTCTAGATTTGTTAAAAAGTGTGTTTATGATAGCCTTTGGCAAATCCGATATTCTCAGAAATGTGTTTAGTGCCGCTTTCGAGGCAGCTAATTAATGGCAATCTTTGTGCTCTCCAAACATAGTACTCAAGGTTTGCGTCTCAGGACTAGAAAATTTGAAATCTTCTCGGGGATGGTGAAGATATATTCCTTAATTTAATTATGATTTAGGCCTCAGCTACTGCAGGCAACATGAATTTTGGAGTATTTATAATGCTTCAGTTTTATTCAGCCTTTGGCAAGTATGATCGGTATTCGATGCAGTTGTTATAGTTGCTTCAGTTGGTGGAAGTGAGACCAACAAAAATGTACCAGACCTGACCTGAAATGGTTGAGAGGGAATTTGAAGACTTCGAGTGCCCTCCTGCCAATTACATTATATGCCGAGTATCACTCACATTTGGGACGTAAAACAAATTTCCAACTGATTGAAGTAAAAATAAGTAATTGGTCAATGCAAGTGCGACAAATGAAATTCGCAGAGTATAGCAAAGACCGCTTCCTGCCAGGACAGCGATGACAAGCTGGCAAAGTTCGAAATTTTTCTTGTCCGAGTTAGGGCAAACTGGTTGGGATGACCTCAGCTAAGATGTCATCCTCACGAACATTACAATTGGATGCTATCCGACTGGCAAAATTGAGCCTAGACTTCCCGAAGGTCATACAAGTTAATGGAAATGTTAGGCTTAAAGAGGAGGCCAAACTTTGGGTAGGCGTAAATATACAGGAGCTTTGCGAGTAGTTATCTCTTAAGGGCTCTTGTTAAACCGTTTCTCCTATATTTTTAGAAAGAAGCGTCGCTATGGTGGCCTGAGCAAGCTACGGACTTTTTGACGCTTTTTTCATGGAGCCAAGCTGATCAAGTCTGGTGCTAAGCAGCCGTTCTAGCAGACACTGTTTATGTCTGAAAGGGGCATGCTCATCATGCACCAGTTGAAATTATCAAAGTTAACTCCACTTTGTGATAAGGATCTAGTGATAATTTTAAAAGCTACCTATTGCATACTTGAGAGTTTTATTTAATTATAATTTTATGTAAATAAATTAAAATCCAGAACATATAGAGGAAATATTTTAATAATTTCCTTTCTGAAGGGTCCGGAGACAATTGAGGCATCTAACAACTTTTGGCCTTACTTGGCTTCGACAGATTGATTGCCTTAAGCAAGTTGTTTCTAAAAGCATCTCAATAAACTGCCTTTTAAGCAGCTTTTGTGTGAAGATTGACAGAGCGCCCAGAGACACAAATTGATAATTATCCCATCGAAGGGTCAGCCTACCACATTACATCACTTCGAGGGAGTGTGTAAAGAACATTCTGATATAAAATTAAAGTAGCCCCTATCGAGAATATACTTTTTTCATAAATGAAAAGTGGCTTGACGGAAAATACCGTTACCTGTCCGAACAACGATTTGTAGCACTTTTCCATAGTCTGGCGTTGAGACCTGGTCAAAGTGCCAAGAATAGAGATTATTGCGTCCTCGTCGGTGCCTAAAATATGCAATGGAGTTAATTAAGGATGAGCACATAAGCACACACATCATTGTCAAGGAATTTACGGCTCAGTGGAAAAAAGATGGTTTTTAGGAAAAGACAGGCTGTCAGCACAAATCACGGTTGAATTAGTAGAAGAAATAGCGAAGCCGACTCAGTTCAATTGGCATAGAACAAATATAATTGCTGGGTGGTGCCGACTTTCGCTGGATTCCAGCTAATCAGGACAAGAATGCTTACATTTTAGGCTACTCTTTTGTGAGGCCTGGCCTTCTGTGCAAGTATGCTTCGAAGCTACCGGTTATACGAGAACCTTGGTCGCACAGTGTAATGTAAGGACTGATAGTGAGATCTCTCACAATGAATTGGGTGAGCGGGTCTCAAGATACAATTGAATTTCGCTTAGCTTTGTCGCACAAAAGCTAGTTTCATTCCGACAGGACTGCAGTTTCAACTTCACCTAGGTCTCACCAACAGGCTTTATGGGAGTCGAAACTCAGGTACACAGCCACAGGTAGCAATGTGTCACAGCACAGAGGCGACACTATATGACAAACTAGCCAGTTACTAAATCTATCATATAATCGGATTGTAGATGCGGCAAACATGAATTTTGCCATTACAATCTAATACGTTATTTATGCTCAGGGTCTCTTGATAGTCTCTGATACTACTGATTATTAATTTAAGTAATGCAAATGCGAGGAATAACCGGGTTTCGATAAAACCCTTGAGATAACAGTGCTTTGTCAACACTGTTAACTGGAAACTTTCGCAAGAATTAGTTTCCGCTCGGATGAGCTCTTTAGCATATGAAAGATGAAAGTCCAACATAAGATCTTATTAAAATCAAACAACTGTAGAACAACGGAGTTCAGCCTTCCTCTTCTGGTGAGATTTACCGGGTATTCATAATATGCAAGTATACGAAACGAAAGTTGCCTAGTTTGCCTCGCCGGCACTCCCATTATGAATGTGATATGGAAGAGGCCTTGAAGGAAACTTTGGCCCATGACCGAATAACACCAGTTTACAAGAGTTGTACTCACCTTATCTCATTTAGGGTGATGAAGGACGGGTACTTGAATTTTCCCAAAATTCTAAGAGTAGGCCTCATATTTCCATTTAACTAATAGTCCTCCATCACCTAAACGAAAAATGGTAAATACAACTCTTATAACAGATTTATCGGTTATCTCTAAAACCCACATATTAAGCGAGAAATAAATAGTTGTAGTCGATTGCTATGGCAAATACAACTTTGCCTTATCGACAATCACATAGTGTTATTTGGGAGGGCATAGGCTTCATTGAAATTCACTGCAGACCACCCCGAACAAGAATGCTTTTTGGGAGTTTAGACTAAATGAAATTCAATGGTATCCTGCGGTATCCTGTGGGAAGATTAACTATCAGTTCTTCTTCACTTTACTCAGCCTATGGTGACTACAGCTGATAATTTCGAAACCCTGAAATGATGAATTTAAGAGGGTACAGAAATGGGTTGACCCCATTGTCGCAACTTGGTCTTATTGTCAGGAAGACTTAGTAGAACGCACTTAGTCCGAAGTCGTCTGCCATAGTAGTTGTCATGATTCCCAGCATCAGACA